CAGTGCATTTAAACTCGGACAAGGACAGTAGTCTAGTGAAACTGCCTAATTGGGCGATAACATTAGCTCAGCTTTACTGCGCATGTAAATGTTCTTGCTGGCTGAGAGGCCAGGTCAGGTCACTAACCTATCACAGGGCTAGCATACTAACAACCAGACACGAATTCAGAGTGACCACTTAACCTAACAAGCACACCTTTTGACTGTGGAGGGGGGAAGCCAGAGTACCCAGAGGGAACCACATGTAAACCCTGCACCGAAAGGTCCAGCTTAGGGTCCAATCCAGAGACCCTCTGTGAGGCAACAGTTGTAACCACTACACCTCTGTGCAATCCTACTGAAGATGTTTTTATCAGCATTATACAGCAATATGCACGCTGTAGTCCCTTTTTTGCTGCACATGCTGACAAACACAAGCTATTATTCATTAAGTAAAGAGGTCAAAGTCAGGAAAATCACTGCCTCAGGACAGAAGCTGCCCTGAAGCACAGCAGTATGTCAGTGAAGAGTTGAGTTTTGAGTTTCAGGTGTCAGCAGGGTGAACAGACTCATACTGTAATCCTTCAGCTTTCTTTTAGCTCTGTGCACACACCTCTGAGCTCAAAGGTAACAATGATCTCACTATTGCTGACTAAAGTAAAGTTTATGCACCTAAAAACTACTTTAAAAGTATCAGTAAGGGTTTTAAGCCCTTGGAAGACACACATCTATACACTTTTTGTTTAGTTTCTAGTTCTTTTATCAAGATCATCAACTTTTTTATCTACTTAAAAGAATACAGACTTTTCCATGATGAGTTTAAGGCATGGCTGATGATCTGAGAAGCAGTTGAAAAAAACTGAGTCGTTGAGGCAGATTTGAAAAAAGCATCCCACCCCCAACACCCAGACCTCTCCCCTCTGTGCTCCACGATACCACCCCCCCAAACCTGTATCACCCTCCCCACGACACACCCCCTCTGGCAGAGCAAGATGCCGACCAGCAGAAGATCCTACACTAGCGTCAAATATGATTCACCAAGTCGGATTGCTATTGAACACCAGCTACCAGCTACCAGCTATCTGCAGCTGCCTGGACAGCTACCGTGGAGTTATTTATGTAACATGTGCCACAATAAAAGGCAAAAATTACCCGTTCAACAAAAACTTTGCTGTCTCGGTGTCTGTTCTCAGGCCCAAATCCTAGTGGAGCTTTCTCGAAGGATGACCGAATGTTTATTCAAGTTAGATTCCTCGCTCGGTCACATTTCCTCTTCGACCCTACCCTTTCTTTTGTTGGTTTAGGTTTTCTTAGCACTTTTGGCGGTGGACCAAGCAGAAGTGTGTTTTGCATCCTTCTCTATCACAGCTCCTGTGGCTAAGCTGCTACGCTACTTTTAGCCACCCCGAGGAGGGCCAGGAGAGTGGGAGGGGATGAGTCAGAATGATGGGAGAGGGGTGTGTCGAATACAGCGAGGTGATTGGATGGAGAGGCGGAGCAGGAGATTGACCAATAGGAGCTGTCCAGGATGGATGGCTCCCATTGGTCAACGTTCTTGCAGCCCGGCACCTGCTAGGGTGAGTGGATTTTTTCCATTCTTTTTTCTCTTCACTCTGTGGAGATCGCACTATAGGACCATTATCGCATATAAACGAGGTTCATAATAATAACCAGTCACTCCAACTGTCAATCATGCCTTTAAATTAGATGTTTTCTCAAGATGCCAAATTATTTTCTAGTTATCATGAGAGAGCAAAGCTACTTTGCCAACGTAGTCTCACACAAAAACGTGAAATACCTACATTGGTCCACTGCGCAAAACGTAGCCAATTCACAAAAACGGCTCTGAAATTTTGGCATGGGTACGTTTCATCTGCCCAGTCTTTTCTGCGGGCAAACTTCAGCTCAACACAACTTTTTCCAATCAATCATTTTCTGTTGAACTTGAACAGAAAGTTTCCTGTGATTGGCCGGACCACTTGATGCAACTCTGGGGCTCAAATCATGATCATTTGACATGGACTTAATATTTCAAGAAAACAATCATAACCTTAACCTCCCATCACAATGAAAAGGAGTTAATTAATGAACAAATGTGTGCTTGGAACTTTCTTTCTTTCTTTCAAAATCTACTTGTGACAAGAATTCAGTATCAAAATTACCAAGCCTGTTATGTTAATGTAGTGGGTGACAGTGAGCACAGCTGTTTGGGAGAGCAACACAGAAGCTGAACTCTAACACTGCAGCTTCACACTTCAAACTAAATTATGATTTTATGTACATTTTTATTTTTGCACACTGTCTTAATTGTTGTCACGACTGTGCCGTGATACTAGACATCCTTCCCCTTTGGGACTATTTTTTCCATCCCTCTGTTCCTCCATATGCTGCACAATGTGTTATGACATTCAGTAGATGACTTCAGTGGATTTGCTCAAGCCTATAAGACCAGTGCAACTACATTGGCTGTTTAGATGTAAATTCGGGTTACGACGCTAAGAGCATGTCTGATAGGCATGTTTGAAAATAAGGTTTTGCTTTAAAATTCATCTAGTGTTAGTTTCAGGCATACTTTTTCAATCAAAACATAGCAGCAAGTAAATTTCAACAAATGTACCGATATAGCAAAGGCAAAGTAGTTTTTAAGCTGTGAGTGTTTCCGCCATCTAATGAAACTCAAAGAGATGATTTTTATTTCCGTTCTAGTAGTAAAAGGAGGAAATTTCAAAATGTCAGAAATCTTCTTCTCCTCTTCACTCTTAAAGAGCGCGTCCTCAAAGTGGTATAAAGCAACACTTAGATGGAAAATAATTCTAGGAGAGAGAAATTAATCAGTGCAGCCTTGAACGTTCAAAATCCACCAGAAAAACCTGGAACAGACAAACATGACCCCCCATTTGGAGAGAAATGTTTCAAAGAGCTCAGCTGCAAAACAATCCTGTGTTTTATTTCATTCCCCTGTGGTCACTCTCCTTACCTAGGATGGAGCTGATGGGATCAAAGACAAAGCTCTCCATTGAAACCTCAGCAGTTTTAATTTCCCCTTAAAACAACCCGTAAAGTCTGTGAGTGCGTCATGATGTGCTCTACTCTTCCGTTAACACTTTTTTTACACTTCAAGAGCCTACTAATTAGCTTTCAAGGAGCTGGTATTGATTCAATTACAGATAAAATACACTGAAGATGGGCGAGAAAAACAGCGGCTCAATCAAAGTATTTAATGAGCTAACAAGTGCGCCTTTTCCTTTGAGTTGGTCCTGAACATTAATAAGAGTTTGACAGAATTTACTCGCACTCTCAAAGTCTCTTGAGATTAATCCTCTGGTATAGCAGGTAAACAAATCTGTATAATGAAGGATTTAATAGAAGAAAGCACAGTTTAAAGGGGGATGGCTTAACACATACTTAACCATAATGTTAGAAACAACCTGAATTGAGCTTGAATTTTTTTTTGTAGTGATAACCTCCAAACAACAGTGTATTACAACATAATTTGAAGGCAGCTGTCCTGTTTTCTTCAAGCTCAGCAGGTGTTTTTCTCGCTGCACAGATGAACTCAATTACTCAAAGAAGAAGCTGACAAAGTTTACACCACACAGGTTTCTTTTAATGTATAAAAGCTCTGTGACTGTGCACTTTCTGCGCATGCTCTTAGTCTGCGTCCTCTCCTGTCTCCATCCAAACAGAAGCTCCCTGGGGGGTCCACATAGTTTCCAAATGGCAGCTGGTTATTCTTTGTGACTGCTCATTATTGCCGCCCCTGCAGAATCACAGTAAATATCTCACAAGTAATGGACGGCAAACATAAGAAGGGCTGAGATGTGGGTTTATCACTTGTGGCATTTTCTTGATTTTGCTCCGCAGGTAGTCCGCTAAACTTTTAGAAATAAAGTTAGAGGTTCATGAAAGCTGAAAAACAGCCATGAAAAACTTGGACAGCTGCAGCTTTATAACAGAATATTTCAAGAAGGGCTCAACTAAAAGTCGCAGTTTTTAACTCTGTGTGCTAACATAGTAATGCAATCGATTGCACCAGTCCTGACTCATGGTAGAGTTAAGAGCTGGATTGATTTGTCCATTTTCATGTACTTTTAAATTTTCACAACAAAATTACAGCTGCTGTGAAATATCATGAAACGGTCTGAAATATGCAAAACACTGGAAAAACCTTTGCTACCTTTTTCTGAGTAGTATTCAGCGTAAGCGATGCATTTCAATGTAAGGTTAGGTTGTTTTTTTTTTAATCTCACACCAATTTCTTAAGAATAAAACAAAGTCATCAACAATTTAAAGAGTTACAGTTTTGACCTTAGGGGCACATATGTTAACACACACAAAAAGTTCGTCTCTTCTTTCCTCTGCTCTCAAATTAGAGTTTGTTAGGGAATAATTTTGGCTGTACTGTCTCAGGTTATATTACACTTAGAGCCGCTTAAACATGCACAACTCCTGAACATGTCCTGACTTTATCTGAGTGAATATTGGAAATGAAAATTCCACCCAGGCTGTACGTGTACACTTTTTAAAAATATCTTTTTTACATCCGGTTTTAAGTCAAACTACACTCTGCTGCACTTCAGAAATGGTACCAGTGGGGTATGAGCTGTCAGAATGAACAAAATCTTGGAATAGAGTCCACACGCTAGCTGTGAAATCAAGGAGTTACCCTGTGACCACTGCTGAGTCCTTTTTACATCATATCTGGCTTTGTGGCATTGCATCATCTGACAGAAAATATCTCCCACTGTGAGGAACATGTGTGAAAAGGGCAGTGGAGAATCTAAAACAGAGTGTACGTTTTATTTGTAGTCATGTTGCATCGCATCAGTGAATGAATGTTGCTCACATATGCATTTCCATATCATAATGTAATCAACAGTGCTGCAGCATTACAGTCTGTATCGTATCAACATTGCATGCATACATGCAAAAGTTCTGGGACTCTGATGCAGTTTTATACTGAGTTGAATCAGCATTGGGTGAGCTTATTTTAGATTCTTCTTGGAGGCTGGAGGTGGAGTCTGGAAATTTACTAAAACTGCTTTTAAGCCTGACAACCACTGCAGATGATCTGTTTGGAAAAACAAAGTAACCATTTGACTCCTCCTGTGCTTTAAATTAGTGAGTGTTTGATACTCTTAAGACTGATTTGGGGATAGTCATCCTTTTGAATTCACGACTGAACTGAAAATAATGATTTTTTAAAATATTTATTTATTGGGTAGATTATGAGAAAATAATCTATGGATAAGAATCAGGAAAAAATGAACAAATTGGAGAAAAAAAAGTGTGGAACCATCTTTCATGGTGAGTGGCACTCTTAAAGTCCCTGCACCCTGTGTTGAGAACCTTCATCCTCCATCCTCCTGTAACACCAACAGGGCGGACTGTAAGAGAGATACAAGCGCTTGGACCGCGCGCCTCTGGCCACGGTCACTCACTTCACTGTCAGTATGTTTAGTTGCAGTGCAGCCAGGTTCGTCTAAATCATGATGAAATGCAGATTTGAAGCGACTTGTTGACGCCCTTTGAATCTCCTCTAACTGGAAGCCCCGTGTATCTCCCGGAGGCGTGAGAGTGGACGAGCTGCACCTTCATGGATCAAATGGAGCTCCACACTTTTACGCTTTCCCCACTTTTTTTGCGTTTGAACTCCAGGAAACCCTGATACCGTTGTACGTGTTCTCATGGGGAAATGCAGGATGCCATGAATTGGAGATGGCTGGACATCTGAAAATATTGGTTTTGAATGCGTTTGGCCACGGTGCTGACGCACGCGCTCCCTTCCAGTGGAGACGAGGAGTTGCTGCAACTCCAAAGCTGTCCACTACCGTCTGAATGTAACCGGTGCGAGTGTCGTTTATTCAAGCGCAAGAGACGGGCACTGCTACCGGATTCCCTGCTTTCTCTTGAGCTTCACCACTATCCAGGAGAACAAGAAGGAAGAATCGCTAGAAGCATGAGAAACATGGTAAGTGTGATGATTTTTTTCTTTTGTAAGAAACCTTATTGTCCGCGTTTGCCATTACGCATGGATCTGAGCGCGCAGAATCGATTATATCGTGTAAATGCAGAGTCAAGAGTGGAGATAATCTTTTTACGAGCAGAAACATGGACTTAAATCAAAGCAAGTTAAAGTAAATATTAAAAACAATGTGACAGCCCTCTGCGGGAAGGAGTTAGGAGGCATTTAAACGTCGCTCCTGATCACTTGTGATGGCACGATCGAGTCCCGAAATGGGTTCGTTTAGAGGCACCTTTGGGGAAGAAGATGCCACCTAAAAAAATGTACAAAACGACACCACAAAGTGCAGAGTCAAACAAAAACAACACTCAAGTCTTTCAGGGAGGGTCAAAGACGCTTCTCGTGAGTCTGATGGTGATGGAAAGTGTGAGATGGAGGGGGAAAAAAAGAGAAGAGAACAGGGCTCAAAACTGCATGAAGCTCTGGTGCGCAAAAGATGGTTTGCTGGGTGAGGACGCAGCTGGAAAAAAATCAAGCATCAGAAAAAAAATGTTGAGTCTTAAAAATGTTGACATTGACCTTGTAAGGTTTTTATCTTGCAAAAGTAATTTCTATGCGAACAAATGACTTTTTTTCTGGTATGTGAAGCGTAGGAGTTTACTGACGGCATTAAAAAGGTCTGCAGCTTATTGGACTTTAAAAAGGGGTTAATGAGTTAAATAGGCAGTTTTGCATCAGTGCTGATCAAAACTTAACCTATATCCTCCATGTGACATATGCATCTGAATTCATGGAAGAAGTGGGACAGGAGAGTGAATTTAAAAGTGGTTGTGATCATAGGTCAACTCATGATGCTTGTATTCCCTGGGGACGTTGTTAAAAGTGTGCTGTGATAAATTGGTGCCATGCAAACAGTTTTAATGCCATCCTCACATTCTAACTAGATGTTTTATTTTTTTTGTTTGTCTTGGAGAGGTGAGCAGTAGAGATTAAATGTGCCTCTCTTCTGTGAACACTCAAGGATTTTCAGAAGTACATCCCAGTTGTGAGAGAAAACTGCAAAATCAAAGAGAATCTCTATCACTGTGCTCTGATGAAAGGTATTTCTCAGCACACGATGTCCCTTAAAGAGAGGGGTTTCCTTTCTCGCCCTCATGCTGGCACACTTCTCTTCTCCATCCTCTCACGTTCAAGCAGACCTGCTCTACACACACACGCACACACACTTAGAGATTCACACACTCTTACAAGCCTGCGCACATGCACCTTAGCTATCAGGGTGTGACAGAGGAAAGAAGATTGAATAGACAGCCTATACAAATTACAAAACTCCTATTCATTTCCTTTTCCTCTCAGCCTTTTCAACAATGTTGCTGAATTTACAATGAGCGTTGGATTATGATATAGTTGAATATATAATTTTCTGACACAATGATTAAGGGTTTTCTGCTCTCATGGGGCACCAGGGAGAGAGCATATCACCAAAAAAAGCTCATTTGTTGCTCATTAGGCAGAAGATGAAGTTCTGGTTTAATAATTGATGTAGGAAGAGGCAATTAACGACTGGTGGTTTTATGAGTGCGTCCAGAGAGGAACAGTCCCCTCCATTAAAGTCTCTTACATATAGAAATATGAAAGAAAAAAAAATCACACTTACTCCCTTTCTGTCACTTGGAGGGCGGGGTATTGTTTTTAACCAACAGGAAAAATAGAGCTGAATCTGTAAACTCTAGAGTCTTTCCTGCAAAGCAAAGAAATTAGGCAAAAACAAGTCAAAAAGTCTCGTTTCAGAGGGCGTATATGAGGGAGCAGTCAGAAGTTTACAATTTTAACCATGAAATTAACTTATTTGGAGAGCTTGGAGCAAAGTAAATGTATTTTCTACCAAATTCAGTGCGTAAAACTTTGTATTTATCCTTCGGATGGCTAGCTAGCTAATAGCTTAAGTGATGAGGTACGTGGTTTTAAAGTGTGAGAAGAATTCATACAAGATTTTCAACATTTCACTCTATTTTTTTTAGATTAATCACTTACACTTTTTAATCGATCAATAAGCCACTCAAAAGAGGACTTAAGCTCCACTTTTTGGAGCTTAGTGCTAGTTTGATAAGCATTAGCCACATGGTTTTTCCTGGGTTGACCAAATCCCCAAAAAGAGGACAGGACTACGCAGGGGCAGGGTGACGCGTAGTTAATTTTGAGAGTTTTTCGGGTCGGATTGAGTGTTATTTACACGCCTCTAACTCGGTGAGTCCATGCGCCACAAACTTAAAACTTCCATACAAAACCCCGAACATTTAAAGGATTTTATAAACTCCCCAAGGCCTTACATGCCGGACAGCCCCCCAAAAAGAGGACATATGGTCACCCTAATTTTTCCTGGATATGGACAAGTCTTCTCTTCAGCAGCCACACATATCTCCAGATAACCTCTTATACTTTTGAGACATATTAACATCTCCTCTAACATGAAAATACACAAAACAACACAAACCGCATAGAGCCAACACAAAGGTATAAACTCAGCTTCACCGTCTGCAACCTTGACTGTCTTTATTCCTCTTTTAACCAGCAGGATAGTAGATGGAAATAATTGCAACAAGTCCACCAAAGGCTGCGATTAAGACTGTATCCATAGCAACAGTGTGTTCTTGGTAGTTATTGAGAAATGACTGACCATATCTGTGGAGATCTGACCAACCAGAGTCAAGTATTTAGCACTGCACTTTAGCACAGGGTGATGACCTTTTGTCAGTAATGTCAACTATGCTGAAGACTTTCGGTGCACCATCATGGATACATTTTAAGAGAATTTAACTCAACTTCTCATTTTCAACTACATTTTAAACTTTTAAACTACAGTTCAATCAATGAGAGACTTTTTTTTTTACAGACATGATATGATATCGGTGCTTGAACTCCACAAGGAAATAAGGTAATCAGAGGGTGTCAGCCTTTAGCAGCACCAGATCAAACCCCCAGTATAGTCCAGACACTGATGTTGGCTGATGAGATGATGGAGCTGAACAAAACTGTGAAGTCTGGGCTGCAATGGGGAGATGGTTGAAAGAGTCATGTAAGGCTGGCGGAGCTGACTAATTGTATAGAGTGGGCAGTCATGGCGGTATCATCTAAGGATGGTAAAACAGATGTGAAGACTGGGCAATAATGGGGGCGTGGAAGGTTGCACAAACGAAAGCAGGAATGATCTGAAGGGCAAAGAAGATGCTATGTTTGAAAAAGACAGCGGCAATAAGGCTAAGAAACAGGGGGAGCTGCAGTGCCATTGGAAAGAGATGCTAAGAACAGAGAAATGAGTACACATGCAAGGAGGTGTGAATATATGAATGACTAATGAAACATGTGGAAGAAGGTCTTACTGACTGAACTTCTGCCAGAGCCCCATTTCCAAGAAGTCTGCTTTTGTCACCATATGGACCTCTTGTTCAAAAAGAACGAAGGATTTTGAGTGGCGCATTTTAAACTGCCAGTGCTGCAAAATAGTGTGAGGGGTCCTTGCAAAAAGATCAAGATTTTACAAACAAAAACCTGTAAAGTAATAGTTTAGATCATCGATATAAAATATTTCGTCAAAGCATCTTTATTCTTATTCACGCACTGTCCCAGAGATATGAAACGCACACACTGTTATCATTAGAGTGTAAACTTGGAATACATTAGAGCTTAATGTACTCCATATTTGCTTTGGGCTTACAACGCATGACTGGAGTTTATTTCAACTCAGGCCTGAAGGTGATCGACTGCAAGGACTGAGCTGAAACTGAGAAAACAAGAAGCAGATGTATCCAAAATGGCATTTTTCCAGAATCTTCTCCAGTGTGCAGCACAACAAACAGGCTTAAACACTTGAGTTAACTTAACACAGCGTTATTTATCATTTGGACTCTGCTGTTTACAGAAGTGCAACACATGAGTCGCAGCCTCACAGCTGAGCAGATGGTGGAGCAGCGTCTGTGAAGGCGACTTTACAGTTCGGCTGTAAAACACCCTGCCCTTCAATATATGTTTATTTGTCGCAGCACTTTGAAGTATCAGAGTAAGCTGTAATCACATGGTCTCAGAGGCAAGGAAATGTCAATATTAGACTTCTGAACAGGAGCAATGAGGAAGACGACATCAGTTCAATTATTTGTTCACTTGTTGACATAAAGGGCTAACTTCTGTAAAACAATGCTTAAAGGTAACTAGAAGCTTTCAGACTGGTATAAATGCAGTATTAGTAACAGGTCTACAACAACTGAAGCTTGTGTGCTGCAGTCCTGAAGTATGAACAGTGTCCTCCAATGAAAGTGAGATCAAGCAAAGGGTAGAGGTGCTGCAGTATCAGAAATTTAAACCAAACAAGAGCAAGTCCACCACTTGAGGCAAACATAGACCACCAGGCCAGTTTTATTTATAATGAACGACCAAAGACCAAAGCTTCTTGTGTGTATAAGACATGAAATAATTGTACCCTCTGCTTCATATTACATAACTATTGATTTCTATCAGCTCTTGGGCTGCAGCAGGAGCAGTATATCTTAAACAGCTATAAACATGTCACACTTAACCAGAAATTAACTTCATGAAATAAACAGTGTTATTGAAGTCAAATCTATCATGCGCTAATGAATCAGTATATTTAAACAAATGGGTTTTTTGCAGCATTTTAGCAGCTACAGCTGTTTTGTTTTTAGTTGGATTATGTAATAACTTCTTTATAGTTTGTTATGAGTGAATAATCTGCCAGAGGGTAGATGTATTCATGAGTAATGACTCTAAAATTTAAACAAACTCAGAAACCTTGGGTCTACTTATTGAGTCTAAATCTAATGTGACCACTTGATTGAAGCAGAAATAACTAAAATGATGTAAAACTTCCTTCAGGCCCTTTCCCCCTTTTAATACAGTAACAAAATTAAAAGGTCCGGGCCTGGCCAAATCATTAGGATGTGATCCAAACATGACAACCATTATCACCGGCATTGTGCACAGAAATCAGCCACTGTCTCAGTATCTGACTTTTAACCACAAAAACAACAAAGCCTTCAGAGGATCCCGAATGACCAACAAGCATATAGCTGGATCAACATGAAAAGCTGACATAAAAACCTTTGCACAGAGGACTTAAAGAGTTGTCCAGTTGTGAGGCCATATGTTATAGTGCTCACATTAAAGACAGATATTGTTCGTGAGGAGACTCAAGAGATAAGACCCGAGCATGACACAAATCTAGGGTTAAAATGAGATTGAACGCTACATTAGATCAATCATGAGGAGGCATTAAGTGTAGGAGCACAGATTAGGAAGAACAAAAGCCTATACAGAGAAAGATATAGGAGAAGCTGTTCACACAACATGCTTGCTGTATGCTCTGCTGATCATCAGCTTGCATGGACTCAGGAGAAAACTCGGTAGCTGTGCGGTTGAGATTTCCCTCTTAATGATTAGGGGATTACTCTGTGGAAGTCCCACACAAACACAAAAGCCTATGCAATCTGCAGTGAAGGCATTCTTGGTGATAAATCATGGATTTCTATTTGTTCCAGTGTATTGCTCAAAGAAGAAATGATTACTTCGATATAAATAGTTTGCTATGATGTGTCCTGGGGAAGACAAGTCCAGCAACACCTCTATATACCAGCTTTTCCCCCTCATGAGCTTGTACTCATGCATTTTAAGAAACTGGTGAAACACTAGTGAGTAGAAGCTCTTGTGTTGGAAAAGACTCAAAGTGGCACAAGACTCGGCTAATTGGTCGCAGTCAGTGGGTCTGTCCCAGTGCTCTTTAAAAATATCATCATATTTCTTTCATTTTATTTTTATTGCCTGTTTGTTTTGTAATACCACACACCTCAGCTATAATGAGGATGTCTTGTATGATACAGGACTTCCCAACCTTTATTTCCTTAATGGTTTGATGATGTTTAACCTCAGAAATGAAGCCACCCACTGTCTTTAGTAGCTTAACAAACCTGCAATAATTAAATCACAGCTGTAGATGAACAAACAAGCATTCATTCTGTTCAATTGATTTGTGTTAAATCTGGAGGGAAACCTCGTTAGTAGCTCAGCAGCTCTGTCGGTTAACTGGAAGATGGTGGTCATTGGTTTGAAGTGCATTAGCTTCACCAACATGGTTTCTATAACACAAAATGCTTCGCTCCTTTCAGTAAATCCTCGAGACACAGTTTATGTTTCTGAGTTTTTCTTCAGACTCGGATTGAAGCTTCACTGAAAACTGAGACCGCATCAGTCGTAATCCCATCGGATTTGCAGGCAGGATTATTCCCAAGGGATTGAACTCGGTGAGAGAAGCAGTCTTCCAGTCACCAAATAACAAGTCCATCCTCCTCTCTCTTCCTGTATCTCCATCATAATTTTATATACCAGCTGAGGGTACAGTTCACCTTATCACTGCCTCAGGGAAATGTAAATCAAGCATTGTTTCTATGTTAAATGATTTCACCTCACAGATCTGTATTTTTTTTTAAATCAAATTGTTGCTGCATTTTTCAATTTCACCTTTCCCTGATCCCAGCTAAAATGGATCTTTCCTCCTTGAGTTATCCTCCTGTATTTTCATCACCACACCTCTTGAGGTCTGATTAATTTATAATCATGAGTAGACCTGACTCCTGCACATGAAAATCATAATTATAGCTCATGATAATAGGTGACTCTGGCATGAAAAGGACTGCAGGGGTTCATATCAGAAACCATGCGAGCCCGCGCTGCCCGCTCTAACAGCAGCAGCTCTGCCTCTCAGACCATTAGTGGTCAGTGTTTCTAGATTGGCTGCCAGTTGAAAGGTGCCTGTTTCCATTACTTAAGGCCAGTCGAGGGAGGGGGCTGTCTGCATGGAGAGTCTGTGATGTGTTGACTGAAAGCCTGTAGGGAGAGTTGCTAGAGAGGTGGAAAAACAAAACACATGACAGAGAAATGTCTGTAATAACAGCCACCTGTGTTTTTCTCACTTTCCCTGCTCGTGTGATGCTACACCCAATTAAGATGAACTGATCAGATTTTGTGGTCGAGAGACAAGGTCAGTGTGACTTTACATCCCTCTCATTCCCCTAAACATGATATCTCAACACCATCTGAGAGGATTTTATCACATCTGCTTTCCTCCTCTTCTTTTTCATTTGTGAGAGTGAGGCCGTCCATAATCAATTTGTGGACGGAGTCTCCAGGCTGCACCCTGCATGTTTCTGACCAATCTGCTATGGTTACAAGGACCAGAGAGAGCGAGAGAGAGAGAGAGAGGGTACAGGGCTGCAAGAGAGAAAGAAAGAGAGGGAGAGAGAGAGAAAGATAGATTTTCTTTGGTATCATCTCTCTGCTTTTTCTCCTGAAAAAGATTGAGGTCCGATTTAAGCCAACTAAAGTTTATCTTTGGTTTTAAAGCTCCTGTGAGGAACTTTCAGTTTGGATAAAGCAGTCTTTTCCCTTTTTGTCCTCTACATGCTGAAATCTCATCCTGCTGACTTTTGACAGACAATTCTATCATTAATTGTGAATATTTAAGGTGGAAATCGTAAATCATGGCTGTTTCCTCTGCTGCTTAGTGGACACCTTCCCCCTCACATCGGTTTCAGGCATTAAAAATTTGATCAGGACAATAATGTTGCTGCTGGTCTTGTTTGCTTTTGGATATCATGGGAAATCTTTAAAATAAATTTCAGTGTGTTTCTTGAATGTCAAAAAACTCCTCACAGGAGCTTTAAAGGGATATACTGCATACATACTATAAATACTAAGTGGATTATATTCAGTGGATGCTTGTCAGCTCAGCCTCATTGTTCAGAAACCGGTTCAGAAGCTACAGAAGGGTGAACTCCATTTGGAAATTTTTTTTAACACTTGTTGGACTTACTTAAAGTCCGACTGATCGTTTTTTTAACTACTTTAAGTGCTCAGTGGTCTTTAAATTGTGATGAAGTTTTTAGCCAAAATCATGTCACCTGTGTCATTTTCAAGGGCTTTTCTTCTGCAGAGATTCAGCAGCTCATTAGAAATTCGCCTCTGAGTCGTGGGCGGAGACAGAGCTGCTCTGCACACTTCTCTTCGCATTAGCTTGCAGCCTTAGTTAATATCATAATTAGCTTTCGTACGAGCATTACAAACCACTAATGAACGCGCTTGTTCCACAATTGTTCTCTCTTATTTCTCCGAGCCTGGCTTGCATAGCGGGGCTCTGGGGGGCGGAGCTTTGACTTTCTACATAGGAAATCTCACTGTTTCTGAACTTGCTGTTTGGGTCTGCCAGAGATTCACAGAGAATTAAATGCAGAAATACTCAGAAATGCAAATTTGCACTTATTTATTTTCATAATATGTCCTTTAGCATCATAAAAATGCCATATGAACATGTAAAAAACAAGAAAAACATTATTTTCTTCGGAGTGAGTCTTTAATTTGAGTATGAGAGGTATGATGCTTACTTACAGATGACTTACAGATTTTTTCTTCTCAGCTGTTGGCTGCAGCAGTACAGGAGGATAAGTGAATGATTGCTGAACAAATAATGAATGGATGAGGGATTGAATGAGTGAAAATATGCAGCACAAATGACAGATAATTGAGGCGCTGATAGTCTAATGATTGAAGCACCCCTGGGGCTGACCCCTTTAGCACCTGTTGATAGCCTGGCTGCTGTGTCAGTTCATTGGCTGGTTACAAAAGAAAGGGGCCAAGCTGACCAGGTAACACACTCAACATCAACAAGTACCTAACATTCCCCCTCTCATTAAAAAAGATTAAATAAATAAAAAATCAAGGCCCCTAATGTAGGGTAAATGTATTCAGTTAAATAATGTCAATATTTAAATGTATTCCCAGACATACAGACTTAATTTTATTCAGTTTCAGGAGACTCATTTGCTTAATTTAATGCAAAATTAAGCAAGCGCTTTGATTAATGATAGAGAGAGCAACAGGTTGCGTATGTATGGATAGACTCAGAGTTAAAAATGTGCTCTTTTCAGCACTGTCTTGATGTGGTAATGAGGGTTAAAGGAGGTTGGAACTCTCCCTTATAGATCGGTTGCCCCTCAATCATGGTGTGTAGTTTAAAAGTTGCATTTATACACAACCACATTAAGCCAGTAGGAGAAGAGTTGGCTTGAAAAGTGTTACTGCTCCAGTCTTGTCTCTTATTTATTTATCACTTTGGCATGTAACTGAGGTTTTCAAAGTCTCCAGTATCTTTTCTGGGATTAGATTTCAGACGGTGCTGTGATCACAAGATTGCCTGCGCCCCAATGTCACTTGTTTAAGTTGTCCACTGAGATAATTGACAGCTCCTTCTCTCTCTCTGTCTCCCTCGTCAGAAACTTGATTTTAATTTTGTTTTCCAAACTCTAACTTAAAAATGTCAATTTTTTTTTAACCCACAAATGAGCTCCAACGCAACTTCTCTGGGGCTTAAGAATCCACCCTGCTTAATTGACAGCTGAATCAATATGTCATCTCCGAGGCTTTGTCTGCGGCATACTCATCAAGTGGTCTTGCAAAAATATTAAAAACTGGTTTAAGATAGGGAAAAGTAACTAGCTTAAGTAAGACTGATAAGAAAATTGTTACAGATCACTCCCCTTACAACCAATCTAAACTAGTATCACTTTCATATAGAGATACAGAACTTTTACGGTATTTTTAAGTAGCTCTGAAACTATAATGAGAAAAAAATATGTTTTTCCGTCGAGCTCAGAGGCATATTAACATTGACATAGCAAATGCATGATATAAGCAGCTGAAACTGTAAAAAGAAAAGGAGAAAACTACATCATCAGTGCAGAAAGTGTAGTTACACGATGTAAAGAATTCCTTACGCTTCATTATTTGAGTTAACTCCAGATTTAATGGAAAGCCTGCAGTTTTATGTGTTACAAAAAACACAGGAGTATGCGTGTTTTTGGCACAGACCTTGCAGTGGGTTCATAAGATTGTTCACAAGCTGCACCAGATCAAATCAGCCCACATGTTCGTCTCTGCTGAGACCGCTCTCTCACTACATCATCTGGCTTCACTGTAGTTTCAGCTCAGTCTCACACTGTAGCAGCTCATCCACTTACAACATGTATGGTGCTGCAGGGGCCAATTCGTGGCCCAATTTCAGTGTGCATGCTCACCCTCGGCCATACAAGTGTTAATCTTTCTCTGCTGTGTCGATGACACTCTCCTATTCTTCCTGTGAAAGCCGTGCCTCGGTGTTACAAAGTCTGAGTGTGACAAAGGAATGGATGGGTACAAACTGTATGTAACTGAAAACGCAAGGAAATATAACTTCATGCTGGGGGTTAAAATCGTGTTCAGTATGGACAGGTATTATTCGTAGTATCCACCTCATACAATGGTGTGACGCTTTGAACTACTTGGATAGTTGGCTTTGATCATTAAACTCCTATTAGGACCCTCATTTCAATGAGACAGGACTTATTTACAGCACATTAGGCTACATGATAAAAAGCAGGGTTTATTTGTTCCCAGTCAAGATGACACACACAGTTAAATTGAGCTATGTTTAAAATGGTTTAACTGGACATACAAGCACCAGGCGGGGATTGAACTTAGTTTATATATATTTTAAAAAAATAATAAGTTAGATGGGAATTGGATTATCAACAAAAGTATGTTCGCCCCTGCTATGATAGGTGGCAATATGCCCCGTTTTAGCTAGCAACTTTTTACTGTTTACCGTAGGACTTTCTCCTATTGACTTATCATACAACATATGAAACAATCAATAAGTTAGCAAGAGGCTAGCTAGCTGTATGAAAAACAGGCTTGTTGACCAAAGCCAAGCATGCAAAAGGCTATGGCCAGTAGGAGTCCAGTCAGGTTTATGCATGCAAGAGCAAGTCGGTCCCCAACCCCATAATCCAGATACGCCAGTCTAACTATGAGAAATCAGACCAAGTGTAAGTTCAGACAGACTAACCTGCCAATGTGTTTTTAAAATGTCCAGTTTTAGTTGGTCTGATGCTGTATATAGATTTTTTCAACATGACATGAACTGGGTGGGAGTTGATTTTGTGGTAAAATAGAAATAATGAGTAATATGATGAGTATAATAATGAGTTATGAGTAATATAGGAATAAATTAAAGCCAGTGGGGTCAGTAAGCAGCTGAAGTAACACTTGGCGCCGTCTTTTGCTTAAGCACTGATCATTATGGATAGATTTCCAGTAAGTTATTCATAAAAATGATTGATCTAATTTTCCATTCACCTTAGAGAAAATGTATCTTTGGTTTCTTCCATAAGACAGCAAGGTATATCAAAGCAAAGGCACGATGAAAAACATACAGAATACATGTGCTACATATGAACTAAGCATTTAGAAACAAAGGTTATGTAAATGATATAAGAGAACAGTCATATAAAACAACATATGTTCCTTGATGCAGTTATCCTATGTTCAACACCTGTATTGCATCAGGAAGGAAGACTCGGCATATCTTTCCATTTGGCCCTCAGGGCCCCAAACAAATTGCCAGATGGAAGCAGCTCGAACAATGAGTGTAGTGGTTTGATAGAGCAAGGTCTCTGTTCCTAATTATTTGACCTTTGTGTATGACAGCTTATTGCAAAGCTTTTTCTGTGACCTTCAATCATTCCCACTGCAGTGCTGAGGTTTTTGGTCCACATACCAAAGTCTATAACCGTGATCTGAGATGCGGATTATTGATCCAAAGGTCTTAAGTTTCCTGATTAAGAAAATCATTGATTGTTTTTTTTTTTTGGAAATGAACTATGGTTTCTCCCAGACTCTCCGCAGAGGCACTGGATTTAAAGCTGATGCCATCGGAGGTGGTTATATCATTGATTAGTGTCTCTCTAACTACAGTCTTATTTGAGTTGAGTTCAATGATGTGTCTTACGAGCCCCTCCCCCTGTTTAGCTTTCAGAAAAAGACAAACAAAGACCATATCATGAGCATATTTGAACAGCCTGACATCACTTCCTTTCCAGTCGTTTAACTTGTGTGAATAGAAAACAGGAGTGGTCACAGCACACAGCCTTGTGGTGCCCCAGTGTTTAGAAATAGACCCTGTTATCAGAACTCTTTAAGCTGAGCCAGGGTTTAAGACAATACAGGTCAATACAAGCTCAAGAGTGGAAAATGTTTAGCCCTCATCTGTGGAAAGAGTGACAGAAGTGATAATGTATTTCAGAGGAATCAGGTAATTTAATGTGGGAACATTTTTCTGCTTCAAGAAAAACAGCAACTGAGTACACCACATGTTACATAAAGAAAAAAAGAATATGGTAGGGAATGGAAAATGTTGAGGCTGTCACTTCACCTTGATTCTGTTTACTCCTGTGATCCTGCACAGGACAGAGTTTCTCAAATGTATGTTTTGTTACTTCACAGTTTCAAAGTATAAGCTGCCTGATTTAAACCAGAATCCCCTTCATCTTGTCTTTCTCTTTCTGTCTTTTCCTGACGCACACAAACACATACTGTATTTTCACACTGCAGACTGAAACAGATAATCTCTGCATCTGCTCATCCCTGGTCCACTACCCGTGAAGCCCCGCTCAGTTGTCCTAGATCTTGACTGGGCCTGATTTACTTTCTTAAGGGTCATGTGCATATAAAGTAGTGAGGCATAATTCACTATAGTGGGATATAAAAACACGAGCCGCTCTGCAGTAGGAGGCTAGATGTAATAAGCTGTTCAAACACACTCCTATGTTGTTGCTAATGAACGAGAGAACTTGAATGACTTTGGGGATTTTCCCAGCAAGGGGCTAAATTACCCCATTAGTAACAATCTGTTCTCTTTCCGTCTGCTTCATAGACTGTATATAGAGCAGACGTCATCTGCCTCCTCACTGGGGGAAGTCTATGTGAGAACAGCACCCCCTGGTGACTGGTTGCAGTATAGGTCAAAAACCCTGCCTCCTGCAGCAAGATGAATGAAGCTGTGTGTGGGCAAACTTTAAAAATGAAATGTAAGTCATAAATTTTCTCAGGAGATGGAGAAAAATCCCATCCTTCAAATTTGTACAATGTGGGAGGTGAAGTCATGTTGTTCATACTATATATATATACGGTCTACAACAGAGGAGCTTAGATTATCCTTCCAGGTCTCTTTAATGAGTCCTGTGTTAGTACCCTGAGGTTTGAGCGGACGACTGTCACCACACAAGCTTGTGACTCCCCACAGCCTCTCTGCAGTTTGTTTTCCCACACTGTAGTTAGTCGTCATAAATCAACCAACCTGTGAAGCCCCTTTACTGTCCCCCTGCGTTCCTGTGAGGATTCATTTCTATTTTATGTTCATCCATGCTTGCATTTGCAGAGTGTGTGTGTGTGTGGGCGGATGTTTGGAGGACAGTGCAGTGCAGTTGGTGCATGTACTGTATGTGTGACTGTGCATAAGCATGCCTGTGCACACATGCAGTCCACAGCCAACACGGCTTGTGAAAAACACCCACTCTCTCTGCCCCAAGGCACCCGCAAACAGTGGAGACAAGATAAATCCCTGTGGAAATAATGTGTTAGCTGTTTCCTGAATTGCAACACAACGTGCTGGCGTGTTCAGTTCATCCTCACCAGCCATTCAAGAAATGTGTTCACCACTGCAATGTAATCTATTTTAAATGCATGAACTCCATCTCCCCCCTGCCTGCGCTTGTTGTATTTACTGTAACTTTTAGTCTGTTCTTGGACAGATATCGGCCCTGAAGACCTGCTGACTATCCAAACATTCACACTAATCTATATTTAGTAGTTTCATTTTCCATACAACAGTTATCTATAATTTAGTATTTGTAGAGTGCATTGCTGACTGCATTGTTAAAAAATAATATTGCTAAATCACATAACAGCAGACTGGACAACATGCTGACTGTATTTTCAACTCAGGTGAGCCAAAGCCTCTGGCAGTGTTTCCTTGGACAGTAAAAAGACAGATCACTTACTTGATCAGTTGAACAGTGAATATATTTTAAAGCCATGTCCAACTCCCTGGATTTGTTATACTCTCAATTTGGACATTTTTAATAGATGAATTTGCATTTGCAATGTGCTTCATTATCTTAATCTGCCTGGTGAACTCACTTTAAGAGAAGTTAAACTATTCATTTATGTGTAGTATCTTTTTCTGTTATCACTGAGCAAGAGCAGCCTGTTCGTAGTCTGTTGATGAAACCACAGGATGAAAGCAGTGGTGTTATTATTGTGAGTATACTGTGATAAGCCTCCCATAATCACCAACAAACACTACCACAGCTAATGCGTTTACACCGAAGGGAGTCCAGTCCAAAATATACTGTTTGTGTTATCAGGACGAAACCTGAAATCATTCATTTGATTGCACCTGAAAATAATCAGGCCAATTTCAGGCTCTTTCCAACCCAAGTCAGCTAAGTCTCCATTTTCTTATGTTTCTAAAGGTTATCTTACCCGATTTTCCTGTGGTGTGAGGTATATTAAGCACAATTTCATTTCTCCAATCGAAAGCCAATCTAGGGTAGAGGCCACACTGAGTCAATTTGCAGGAATTACATGTGTTTACAATTTATGGTCTTGATGGCGGGGGAAGGTCAGAGGATTGCCGAGCGTACACTTTGTGGAGGGAATTTTAAACAAGCAGGGGAGCAAGCTGGCCAAAAAAGAAAACACAACAAATGCAGGCATGATGTGGGCCAGGTTTCAGGAAGATAAGATGTAAAAGCTAACATTTTAGATTCTTTTCTGAGAGATTATTTTAGTGTTCTTATATATTTACTCTATTTCAATCATAGGAGACAATTTGAAGAATGAAGTTAGTTTTATGAGAATGATCTAATTAATGTTGCCTGACAGAAAGTCTTTGGCAATTGGACTCTGTGGAGAGATTTTTGAGATTCAAGGACGACTGATCAGCAGAAGCATGAAAATCCCCCGTGGAGTCCTGACACTGCTCATGGCGGTGGCTGATGACTTGCTGGGACTGAATGGTTGAAGAATGGTAACAGGTGGTTCTGCAGAAACCAGGCTGGGATGAGGAGGTGGGGGGGCACGCACAAACCAACAGCATGAAAGAACTGGAAGCAGAGAAAAAATCCTATTTAAAAGAAGGGTAATAGGCTGACAGTGAGGGTGTGCCACCATGCAGGTGAACAGCTGATTAACCAATGACTGCTCTGAGCAGTCTCTTCCTGACAGCAGGAAAAGTGTTTGAGCACGAGAGCAGCTAGAGAGATGTCTGAAATGCAGATAGAGTCTTCCTGAATGAACTTACATTTCTTTTCTCACAGGCAGCACAGAGAACTCTCATGGATATAAATATTAAAATATTTGTTAAAAATTTCACACAAAAAAGTGTTTTATAGGAGAAAAAAAAACGCATTTTGGCCTAAAAAAGCTAACTTTTTAATTTTGCCTAATTTCCTTAGCAAAGAGACTAAACACATCTCACCTATGATGATTTATGATCATTTCTTTATCATTTCCTTGAAGTAATAATCACCATAATAATAATTTTCCACTGCAGACGCGGTAGTTCTTCTGCCTTAACGTCACAGTCTGATTGCATTTCCATGAAGAAATGATCATAAATGTTCTTCCTTGAGCTGCATCACCCTGCAGCAGTCCGTAATGGACTAGCCCAGTGGGTCTCAAATCCAGTCCTTGAGCCCTCCCGTCCTGCATGTTTTGGATGTTTCCCAGCTCCAACACACCTGATTCAAATGATCAGCTCGTTATCAAGCTCTGAAATGGCTTAATAACGAGCTAATCATTTGAATCAGGTGTGGGCTCGAGGACTGGACTTGAGAACCACTGGACTAGCCTGAGGTCTCACTACCTACAAGCTGCTACTGGAAGAGAGTAGGTGAGTTGTGTTTAGTCTCTTTGCTAAAGAAATTAGGCAAAGCTAAAAAGATGTTTGGTGGCTAGTACTATGGCTGGGACCCTTTATGTACTGTTGATGAAGTTAGGTGCTGTTCTAAGCATTATTTGTAGCTATAGAGTGGCGTTTGGGTTGAGGTTTGCTATCGTACGGTCGTTACTTCAGTTGGTATAACTAAAGAAGCAAGCGGTCGGCAACATTCATCTCTCGAGGGGGTGTCTAACTCGGTGTTACGGTGTGTTTGACCCTAAATTAATTTTACGCTGGAATATCCCTTTAAGGTGACAGGAACAGGAAGACAGAAATTATTATTTTGATGGCACACCTTCAGAGTAATTTCCCAGCAGTCTTTTAAACCCTGTGTACACAGAGACATAATTTCAGTGCAGTTTGTAATTCATTTGAAATCATAAACATTATGCTTTATAGGCTTTATGATGTTTGCAAGAAATTTCAGCAGCAGAGCAGTTTCAAACAATTACCACAACAAAAGAAGACTGCACGTCTACTAGGACTGTAGACTTAACGTTTTTGCTCGTTTCTGCAACCTATTTGAAATCTTATTATTATTATAAACCCAAATATATAAGACAAAGGACTTATAGATTGCTGTGGGTCATCAGCATATAAATTTGTGTCACATACACAACACCAAAGATGAGCTCCTACAAATGTAAGCACTGACATTCTCAATTTGGACTGAGGAGGCAAAGAAAAAGGACAAAGCAGAGAGAGACTTACTGCAAATTTTATGAGGAAAATCGATATTGATAAGAGAAGCTGAGAAATTAAAGTAAAATCACCTAGAGGAAATGATATCCTGTTTACAAGTGCAACTGAGTTACCTGAGTTTTTATAGAGCTTCAGTGGACTTCTCTCCCTTGACTCCTCCTTTATCAAAAGAGTCAACATTTCTCTGATCAGTAATCTAAAACCTCCCTCAGCGCCCCCTTACACACACACACACACACACACACACACACTCACACATACCAATAACATCCCTGTGCTCACCCACCGTTTCAAGCACACTCGAGTAAACAGCAGACACTGGATGACAGCGGAGGTAGCGATGGCTCTGCCTCCTCTCAGTTAAATCAATTAGCCTCTCTCCAGCGGGGTTGTGCACTGTGTGCTGGTCTGAGGGGGGTTTAACTGTTTCACCCAGACCAACAAACAGACTGAATCCAGGCTGCAGCATCTGCTTGGATTGGGTCCAAGTCTGAACAGAATGAATTGGATTTGTCTTGAATGGGGTGTAATACGGCGGAGCAAACAGGGCACAGCTGCTTCATGAACATGTGTGTAATTTTCTATGCTTTTTTAATCTCAATCATACTTCTCTCAGTACATAAATTTGATTTTTTAACCATGTTTTAAGGATGATAAATGCCCTTTTCATCTCATCAGGCTGAGCCATGCCACGCTGTATTAGATCTCCAATTTCAAAGCCAGATGCAGAGGTTAACAATTTCACACAAAAATTTAGGCCCAATTTAGACGAGGTCTGTTCTTGATTGAAAACCCTTTTCCTCTGGTTCATTCATTTATTATGAACCTCATTATCTTATTGTGCAATGAACCAGGCCTTAAGGAGATTGGCCTCGTCCTTGACTTGTTGATGTGTAAACAGATAAGCTTATCAGCCATCGATCAAATGCGCGGCTGAATGTGCATGAAGCAAATAATGTAGACAAGGAACACAGTGCAGCATGGCAGCTTGAAACAGAGACAAATCGAATCCTCGAGTCGATGCTTGCACGCTTCTTGGTATGAATACTACAGTACAACGCCAGGACAGAGCATTATTACCCCTCTGTGTGCTTATCAATCTGCTCTCCACTGATGCAGTGAAGTGTGACTGTACGGCAGCCGTGCTGTTCGAGGTTTCATCCATCAGCAGTCACAGCTATCTCTGATACATCAGCACAGGATGTTTTCTTCCCAGAATCCACAGCACATGAAAAACAAAAGAGATGTTTGGGAGGCTTTGTTCTAGACAGATGCTTTTTTTTTTTAACCAAGCATTTGATTTCCTTGTCGTGAGGTGCACCCTACAGCTTGTGATAACAGTTGTGTACTTTTTCTGTGTTCCTAGAGAGAGAAAGAAAATAGCCCATGCTGTCATGGTGATGCCTTCAGGGTGATCTTTGATGTCTTTGCTTAAAGTCTGCATATAAATTTTTGACAGAAGGCACCGGGCTGGGAGGGTCCAAGAAAAGATCGGCCCTGCAAAACTTTGTTTGATGTAAAATCCAGGTCTTCTCTGTGTACAAGGTCAGGATAAGTGGACTTCTTGTGAATGTTTTTGAACCATTTTTTTCTAAATGTGTTTCCCACGGGCTTGCCCATCTCTGTTCTAGTCCTGGGTTGCTGTGGCTCAGTGTTTGAATTGGATCATGGACTGTGTTTCTATAGCACATTTACACTGCATGTCACATTCACGCTCAGATGGCAGAGGCTATTATGTAGAGAGTCCATCAGTTTTGACAAAGTGTCCCTAGGCAAGACACTCAACACTCAATCAGTGCTGTGTGAAAATGTGTGAATGGGATTAGTTATCAGTTATTAGTAGTGATGGGGATCTTCTACATCAGTGCATGAACGTGGTATGAATAAATGAAAGTTACATGACCCATAAAGGTTCTTTGAGTGGTCAGAGGTCTAGAAAAGTCCAGTAACTTCTACCTGATTAATGCTGTTCCACACTTACCTGATCTGAATTCAATTAGCTTTTACGTCGTGTTAGCACTGTGTGATATATGATACATCTTAACTTAAAAACACTGGAGAAGACATTGAATCTTGTCTATAAAGACCCACTTGAGTGGAAATTGTGTTTTTTTTTCTTGTTCTCTTCAAGAAGTTCTCTTCAACTAAGAGCAAAATTGCATTTCTGAGTATTTCTGCATTCAACTCCCTGTGACCTAAATGGCAGGTTTAGACACAGTGAGATTTCCTACATCACAAGTCCTATCTCCACCCCCAGTGCCCCGCTATGCAGGCCGGACTCCAAGAAGTAGAGAGGACAAACGCTGAACAAGCGTGTGCGTTAGCGGATTGCAACGCTAGCAAGAAAGCTAATTATGATATTAACTTTCATCATGTCCCCGAAGACATTAGCGGTAAGCGCTGAATAGCTCCTTTATTACCTGCCACCTCTGCTGTATCAGTAATGTTAGGCTGCAACCTAGCGTGAAGACAAGTGTGCAGAACAGCGCTGTCTCTGCCTTTGACTCAGAGGCGAATTGCTAATGAGTTACTAGAGCGCTGCAGAAGAAAAGCCTTTGAAAATGACACAGGTAACATGATTTTGGCTAAAAACTTAACAAATACAATTTAAAGACCACTGATAACACCTTACATAATAAAAAGTAGCATTGGTGTGGGACTATAAAGGCAAAGTGTCCCAAAAAGGACAAAAAGTGTAAAGCAAGGTTTTCACTTTCAAAACTTGATGATCATTTGACTGATTGATCTGAGGTAATTATGTCTGCCTGTCATTTACAATAACAATAGTTAATATGAAATTATGTGACAGATGGAGTTTAAGGATCCATAGTTAGAAATAGAAATGACATTATATGATTTTTGCATGAAAAAGAAAAATCTGTCAACTTTTATGTTACGGGCTAAATCTTCATTTTGTTGCTTAATGATAAGATAAAAGTTCGACTCAGATAAGAGAAGGACAAATGATAGTGAGCAGGTGATGCTGATCAGAATCCCAACAGGGTGAGCAGGATTGTCATGCATAAAACCGGGTTACTGACCAAAGATGTGACATGTGTGATCATGTTGTTTAGAATTACTTACTGCTCTCTTGGGATTTGACGACAATCAGAATAAAGTATGAAATAAAGAAATAACAGTTTGAATATTTAAAAAAAAAAGGTTTCATCCTCTCATTAATGTTCATTAACAAGCACCAAAAAGAAAATGTCACAGAAATACAAAAAATCTGAAGGATAAAGTTTTGTCATTTAGTTTTTAGGCTCAAAGCCGTCAGAAAGATCAGCCTGGTCATCTTGCTTCCTGCTTGTTATCCTGTAAAATGTGAAAAACAAACTGCAAACCAAAACGGCCTCTCATTGTTTCTGATCACCACACAGCAACGATACGGAGCTATTCCTGTCTTGCAGCATTATTAAAATTCATAAAAGCTGCAGTGCAGATCAGCAGGGCTCAGTTGGACCACACTTTGTGCATTTCAGTGTGTGTGGATGTTCAGCACGTGTTTGCTTGTGCGGTTACTAACAGGTCTCTGTGCCCTTTTCCTCTCCGTCTAAGAATGTGTGCAGGTTTTATGATGGGAGGCCAGCTGTTTTCTGTCCCTGCGGCTAGTTGAATGTCATAGAGCAGGATGAAACATAAAAACACATGATGATATTTATTATATTTACTGAAAAGGCTTTATCATGGCTTTGTTGTAACTTAAATAGGAAGTCAAGCGCATGTAACCCACATTTAAGTTGTATCCTTCCAGCTGTATTCTGAGCGTAGGAGTGTATTTCATAACAGTAGTACAATATTTTTACTTTTTATCCCTGGGATTGTTCAATAAAAACAGTCATGCTCTCCTGAGAATCTGTAAATGATTGCACTAAACAGACAAGGTTGTTTTCATCTACCATTTAATATGCCTATTTATTGTCACCACCCAGGCACAATAATCCCCCTCAAGAGCGCGGCTGCCAATCAACACTTGATTTAATGAAGAATTTGCAGAGTTGTTTCAGGAACAAACGCGGAAAAAAAGAAAATCCTCCCTGACACTCGTAATGTTCCGGCAGAAGGAGGTGTTAACTGTGAAAAAGCAAACATGTGTAATTACTTTGGCAGACAGCGATGTTTGTTTTATAGCAGCTTTGTTCCTCAATGTTCCAACATCTCTTCACAGCTTGATGATGTGTGAAATACAAAACAGTCTTTAGGAAATAATTAACAGCTGTAAAAGTCATATTCCAACAACCAAATCTTATTTCTTCTCCTAATCCTTTTCTTTCAACTCTCTCAAAAAATCAGCCCCTTTGGCTTTCATCAATCAACATGACAGTGCACATATGCATAAAAATACAAAGAGCACATCACCATTATTGCCATTTATCTCTGACACATCTGTGGGCTGTGATGTTGTGAAGTGGTTTCACTGCCAATGAATCCATTAAAAGTAAACCCAAATGTATGTTTTCCTTTTTCCTCTGAATTTGAAGAGATTAGCATCCACGCTGCTGCTGTTAAATAATAAATGATGGTAAATCTAGTGAATAGATTTAAGGCTAGAGGGAGGGAAAGCCTTCTGTGATGATGATTAACAGTCAGCTCTAGTCCTCACAACCACATTTCCACATTCACTTAACATTTAGTGGACATTAAAGGTAGTCAGCAAATCACCCCGCGATGACTTTTAGGCGCTCTCACCCAAGACCATGTGCTTTGAAGTTACAGTCTGACCACTGTAAATGTAAAGTGAAGACAGTAATTTGTATTAATGACGCTGCTTTTTATAATATCAATTAATAATTTAACATGCACGTATATCAACCAGGGGTCAAAACATTCCTACTTACTGTTGAAACTAGTTAGGTGTTGTTACTTAATGTGTACCTTTGGTTGGTTGGTAAGGTTAATCTAATCTATACTAGTCAAGTGCAGCTAGCCAAAATATTGTTGCAGATATGACATTAACCCTTCTAGTAGCCAATCAGAGTAAAGGTTTCCTCCCGATGAAGTGATTGTTTAAGTGCTAACTCTCATTCCTGGCTGCCTTTAAACAAGCTAACGGCTAAAATGTTAGCAGTTAATCCTGTAAAATCTCATTGCTGACATTTAGTAGTTTGCTGATTGTTATGTTTATTATAAAGTGGTACCTAATGCTGCTCTCTGTTTGAGGAAAAACCACAGCGGTATTATAGATCACAGTTCATATATGTTTTTGACTAATGTCATCCATCAATTTGCCAGCACAAAACAACAAGTTAAAGTCTATACCTCTCCTTTTCTTCCATGTTATCCCATCTTTGAAAATGTAAATGAAGACATCCTGTATTTACAAAGTCCTTACCACCTACTCAGAGCTAAGTGTAAGATTCAAGATATATTACAGATTTTTATTTTTATTTTATCTTGGATGAAAATGTTCAGTTTAATGTTAGTTTGTCCTACAAGTTGGCGGATAGCATGGACTGTTGCCATGGAAGCTCCAGAACTGTGAAACGAAGGGAGCTATATTTTTCTGCTGTAAAAACAAATTATATTTAAATCAAACAAAGCATTTTTGAATAAATGTTTTAATTAAAACTGTTTTAGTCAGGAGATGAGTAATAAGCAGATTAAGATACAGCAAGCGGGTCGTTTCAGGGATTATAAGTACCTCGAGACGAGAAAAGACCTGCTCACCCTGTGGAGGTTTAGATTATTATAAATACACTGTCTTTTTTTTAAAAATCCAAACATTATCAACCAAAGAGGTGATTAAAACATATAATGTCACACATTTATTTAATTTCATATCTCAGGAAGTGAAAGACACATTGTGACAACAGTTTGCTGTTAGATTTATTCAGCGCTGGTGGTAATATTTTGAAAATGAGGGATTTTAATGGTGCTGAAATAATTAAACAAATATTGCTGATGCATATTTGAAGCACTGGCTACTGTATTTTGCAGGCATGTTGGAGAATTTGGTGTGACTGTCACATTGAAAGTTAAAAGGAAGAGCAATTAGAAGAGGGTAAAACAAAGTCAAGTCTGGTCATGTTTCTACCTGTGGGTTTTTAAACATTTTGATATTCTGAATAAGAAAATCTCATGTTATTTTCTCGTCATCTTATTTCTGAATTTTTTCCCAAATACTTGCATGTGCTACCACGTAAAGCAAATTCCTAAAAATCTACAACAAAATACTTCACAATAAAACTTGTCTGATCATAAAAAAACACAGGAGCCATTAGATGTTAAAGTATTTGACCTTTCCAGCCTGTGAAAAAAGTGTACATGCCAGTAAACTGCCAAAAAAAGTTCACTGTAGTTTGAAAAGAAAAGCCAACAGGCCAGGACTCAGAAAAATGTTAAAAGTTATCATAACAGCAGATATTATCAATCGCAACCATTTCTGTGTGATGAGTGGGCGTCAAGTCTGTGTATCGAGTCATTCTGCTGCGTTTACAGGTCAAAGTGGAGACCACGATTTGTTCATTTATTACCCGTTATGTGTGGGATTTGTCATGTAGGCGGTTTGTTTGTGTTTGTATTTGTACAGCATGGGGGAGGGGAGTGCGGTTAAGTTGAATATAACCAAATTTCTATTTATCTCTCTTTTTCTCTCGCTCAGGATGAAGATGCTACAGAGGAAGCTCTGTGAAAATGCTGACATTGACGAGGAAAAGACAACAAACAAGCGTCTAAAACCGGGGACCTGAAAAAAAAAAACAAGTTTAAAGCCAATTTTTATTTAACTGCCAAAAGCTTTTTGGAAATCAAATTACGTAGAAGCTGGATCGTTTTTCTCTGTCTGTCTTTGATGTGGATGTAGCTGTTTTGTTCTAGCTTTCCAATATCGTTGAAAAAAAAAAACAGACAGCGCCAAGTTTTGGTACAAAAACCTCAATTTAGCAGGCCTCACGCAGACTTGGGACCAGATAAGAGAGAGACAACAAGCCAACCTGTGTATCTGTCGTCATCTCCTTCCTACACTCCGCTCCCTGTTGGCTTTATTGAAAAGGAGGAGCCCATTAACGCATTTGATAGATAGAAAAGGCTCGGTCTGAAGGTGTTGCTGCCGGCTGGCTGCCGGTTGGAGATGAGATAAGAGAAGCAGGGAAAGAGAAAAGAATCTGACCAGAGCTGAATACAAATTAGGATTCTTGTATGCTACAGCAACAAATGTAAGGCAAATCAATACTGAGGAATTGAAATGGACCAATTAGGCAGCTTCAATTTCAGGGGCATTCGCTGAGAATTGAAATGATGGAATTAGATGTTTGTTAGAGCTGGATACAAAATCACATTGCAATATAAGGGATGGGAAATAACGGTGGATAACAGTCGAGCTTCAGCCTGAACTGATCCTTGTGCAGTGTGAGCTAACGATGTCCAGTCTGGTCTGAAACTCTCTACAAAGACGGTTTGACAGCAGCAGAGGCAAGATGGAGCTCGATAATAGCACGCTGGATTTCTTTACCAGCAACTTCACAGAGATCCCCGACAACACTTCCACCCAGCCGTGGAGCGAGGCCACGCTTCTTGGCCTCCAGATCTCCCTGTCTGCAATTTTAGCTCTTGTAACCCTGGCTACAGTGCTTTCAAATGCCTTCGTCATCGCCACTATCTTTCTAACCAGGAAGCTACACACCCCTGCCAACTTCCTGATCGGCTCCCTCGCTGTCACAGATCTGCTGGTGTCCATTCTAGTCATGCCGATTAGCATCCTCTATACCGTCAGTAAGACGTGGTCTCTGGGGCAGATTGTGTGTGACATCTGGCTATCATCTGACATCACCTTCTGCACAGCCTCCATCCTACACCTGTGTGTGATCGCTCTGGACCGCTACTGGGCCATCACGGATGCACTGGAGTACTCAAAGCGCCGCACCATGCGCCGGGCGGCGATCATGGTTGGAGTTGTATGGGTGATCTCCATTTCGATCTCCATGCCACCTCTTTTCTGGCGGCAGGCCAAAGCCCATGAGGAGCTGACAGAGTGCATGGTGAACACAGATCAGATCTCCTACACCTTGTACTCCACCTTTGGCGCCTTCTACGTGCCCACAGTGCTCCTCATCATCCTCTACGGACGAATCTACGTGGCGGCCCGCTCTCGCATCCTCAAGACACCGTCCTCCGGGAAACGTTTCACTACAGCACAGCTCATCCAGACCTCTGCAGGCTCGTCTCTCTGTTCTCTTAATTCTTCCTCCAACCAGGAAGCACACCTACACGCTCTGGCAGAGGGAGGAGGAGGAGGGTCACCTCTGTTCATGAACAGTGTGAAAGTGAAGCTGGCAGACAGCGTGCTGGAGAGGAAGCGACTGTGTGCAGCCCGGGAGAGGAAGGCGACCAAGACGCTGGGCATCATCCTGGGAGCGTTCATCATCTGCTGGCTGCCGTTCTTCGTCGGTACGCTTGTCATGGCGATTTGTAAAGAGTGCTGGTTCGATCCGGTTCTTTTTGATATATTCACCTGGCTGGGATACCTGAACTCCCTCATCAATCCTGTCATCTACACTGTGTTCAACGATGAGTTCAAACAGGCTTTCCAGAAACTCATCAAGTTTAGACGGTTCTCCTGAAAGAAAAAAAAACAAAACAAAACAATGGATTAAAACCCTCTGACAAAGACTCCAAAAAAGACAGTTCATACTGACTTAAAAAGTGCTGTACTCTCCACTGTCTCATCCTGTAAACACATGCCAATGTGAGTTTTATTTTTACATTGAAAAGCTGCAATAGCTCTTTAGAAACCTACAGCATATCCTTTGTAGAGACTACTGCATGCATGCTTAAAAGAGAAAAACCTCGACTCCCATGAATTGTGAAACTCATCTTTTAAAAAAAAAAAAGAAGAAACAGGAATCTGAAGCTGATTCATGTCACAGGGACACTGCTGTTAATTCCTGGACAAGCGCAAAGATGATAAAAGAACAAGGAATTGGTGTATAATTGTACAAAAAGTACAAACTCAGAGTGGAAATGAAAAGCCATGAAATATGTGTCGTCTTAATCTCTGTGTCATACTGTAAGCTGCTGCTCCCTGATAATGTATCTGTGGTACAGTAAAGTACTTAAAACAACAACAGAGTCACCAAAGCTCTCTCCTTATATACTATTATGTTTAGAAGTGCTTGTGCTTGTTCCTGTGTTTGTGCATGTGTGTGTGAAGTTGCCACTTCAGCATAATACAGTATATGCCTGTTCGAGGGTTTGAGATTTGTTGAGTGTTTGACATTTATACATGCCGTCCTCTAGTGAGGCTTGTCTCAACATTACAGAGGATGAAAAGGAAACAACAACTCCACTCTGGATTTCAATAACACCCAAAACCATGACAGCAAAAGCACCCTCTCAAAAGTCATATGAAACAGTACTCTGAGGTCCAGATCAGTAAGGGTAAATTTTGTATTATAAGTGTCTTCCTCAACAACAGTGCTTGTGCTACTATAAAAATGAAAAGTTGTTTATTGGTGGGTACTCCATAACTGCAGTAATAATTAAATAATCAAAAGTCACCAAGACGTGCTTTGCAGTTTCATTGTCTTGAATAGTCTCTCCATAAAGTAACTGTCCATAACCTTATTATTGTGTTAGTTGTTGATTTAAATGAAGATTGTACCAATATTAAAGTGACAGCACTCGAAGTTATGAGTTCAAGCTCCTGTGAGGACATTTTTAGCGTTTATAAAATAGATTTAAACTTTCACTTATGCCTTGTTGTGATATATCACAACTATCAGCAACAAGATTTTTATATAAAAATTACATTTGAATACTGTAATTTTTAATGTCACAAAATAACCCCAGAAAATGGTACAGTTGACTTCCAAACATCATCAGCATATGATTTATTTTTATTTTATGTTTTTAGACGACACTACTGAAGCATGTAAAGAACAAATAAGCAAGGAGTGCTTTGTCCACAGGGGGCGCCAAATTAACACGAGCAAAAAGTTCTTCACATGAGCTTAATTCAAAATGACCTCTTGATAAAGACACAATGGCACAAGGTTTATTGAGGACTTTTTATGAATTTACCTTAGCACTATGTTTGCTGTTTACCTTTTAAGAGTGGTGTTTGTATGGGCAGTTGAAACAACAAGGATCAAATGATGAGTTAAATGCACAAAGCCTATATTTTTTTTCTTGATAGCAAGTAAGCAACAGGGTGCTGACATATTTATTGGACTGACTGATTTCGTCTGCTATTTACGACAGTTTTACAACACAGAGTTTTTTTTTAGGAGGAAACTGGTAAGTGAACCTAATTTTGACTTATCATTCCCGTGTTGTTCATGGTGCATATAGAAAATGTAATGTCATTTCAGTTGTTTCCTTGAGATCTTGACATGTTGGGATGGTGAAACTTGTTCTCAATCACAACAGTTCAATTCATCTCATTTCTTCAAGATGACAAGATAATTTCCTGGCAAAGGAAAAAAACATTTGGCTGGTCACTGATATGCCAGACAAGGACAGATCGTGCTACCACTGCTCATATTAATCTGGTGAATAATGTCTATTATTATGTTTGTTTCGTGCTTTTGTAACTTATGATTAACTAACAAATCCAGATCTCAAGAAATCATCTGGTAACTGGAAGCCAGGATGCTTTCGCGTCTTTTTTTCCCCACATATTAGAAAACAAAAAGGTGTTTTTCTCTGACAAATGTGAACACAAGAATCACACTCTGGTGTGAAACAAACAAGTGAGTCAAGATCGCCCTGAAGAGGTGGTCTGGGCTCGTGACCGGTTGAGTCCTGGAGCAGCTCATTTGCAGTAACAACACATTAACCCAGCGGCCAGAACAAAAACAGCTGTTCAGCTCATCACACTTCAGAAGTAGTATGCAAGTGATGGATGCAGTCATACAGCTGGAAGGCAATTTCAGCTACAACTGATACTTCGCACTGATACAATATTGCAGCGTAAGTGCAAAAAGACCCAGAGAAAGAATCCAACTTGTCATTTTTTTCTCTTGAATCTGAAAATATCAAAGGAGCTGATAGTTCATAAATGTTTTTTAGATTTCATCATTTTAAACCATGTCTATTTGAGAAACGTAACAAAAAGATACCCATCAAGAAGTATGAATGCAATAATGTAGTGTGGGGCTAGTCAGACTTTTTACCAAGAAGATCAACAACATAGAAATCAAACCGTGGAAGTTGGATGACCTTCTCGTGCTCGTTTAATGCATTGGTTCCAGGAAAGGCACCTGGAGTGGTCACATTTAGTGTCTGCCAGCTACTTGAAATATATTGCAGGCATCAGTTCAGAAGGCTGCTGGGCCATGAGTGGCGTGCAGCTCATACTTTTGGGTGATGTAGTTTATTAGATGGTTATGACTTTCATTCATGGGAAGTCATTTAAAAGAGTAAACAGTTTGACTTTCTATGCATCTGTACATTCAGGCTGATGGGCTGAGGGTTCTGCAACTCACTCGGGCTGCGAGTTGAGTAAATCACCACCATTTTTATCGAGTAAACACACAGTGACCTAATGGACCTCCATCATGTTTTTCCCATCAATACTTCATGCCCTCCTCTCACAGTGCCTTTATGTACACCTAATACATACTGTATATACTCTTTAGGATACCATAACCTGCAGCTCTCTCAGTTTTTCACCACCAGTCTGAAGCAGTGGAGTGAAGAGTGACCGAAACAGTCATAATCAGTCATACTGCACCAGAGTAAATTTAGTCCACTGGAAATAGAGCTGAAGACCAGTTTAGGCACTTTGATAGCATGGTTTAGTAATGTGGGATGAAACCACGGCAAAACCTACCTCTTATATGTATACTGTACATCTCCGAGATATCATAGCCTATAGAGTGCCCACAGTCTGTCTCCACCAGTCTGAAACTGTCATATTCAATCACATTAGATCAGAGTAAATTCAGTCCACATTAAGTAGGGCTGCATACAGAATGTGAACACCCTATATCATGAAGATAACTCCTATCAACATTACACCTAGCTTGCTCACATTTTACATTTTTGAGTCACAAAGAGCTCTCAAATCCATGCATAATCCATGCAAGTTTTTCAACAATTCCTACATTTTCTATTGAAAGGCAGCAAAATTCACAATTTTGCTCCACATAAGGAAAAGTCAACTGTCTGACAAGCAAAAAACTGTCACACATAATGTATGTTTTGTATACATTGGCCTTAGATTAAATTGAGCATAATTCCTCTTATTGTAAAGAATTGATTTGCAGTTCACTAAGAAAACTTGAGCAACCTGATGACAAACTTATGCCTCACCTACAAAGAGACTATTCAGTGGGATGAAGGCAGAGAGGAAAGACTCAACATAATTATTCATATTTCTTCAAGCATTCAAGAAACATCTCTGAATTCATTATTCCATGTCGCATTGGCTAATGTGATTTAATTACAACATAAATGTACCAATCTATGTATGGAAAGGCAACAGAAACAAAGGTTCAATTAATCTCTTTCTTTGACTTCATAGGTAAACAACAAGATCAAAACCTTATTATTCAGTGTACAGCATTAAATTAGTCCAGCAGCTATTGATTTGCACCTTTGGGGATCACTGGTCTGTAAAAATGTTTCTTAGCCGATCGTTACAAACAGAAGACAGGGAGATAATTAGGGGAATATGTATTTGTTTAGTCTCAAGATGAAATACTTAAGAAACATGCGAGAAAATGCCATGTTGTAGTTTCATTTGGGGGTTTGAATGAGAAATAGACAAGTCTCTCTCTACTAAAAATTCTCAAATAAAGTCGAAAATGTGACAAACCTGCATTCAGACAAAAGAAAATGAACCCAAAGTAGTTTGATCGATCTAGATTAGTGGGCAGTGAAAAAACATCTTAAAACTGTAGTTTTACATGTCTCTGTGACATTATAGTTGTAATAGTATCAGAGGTAATAGGACTAGAAGCAGTGAAGGCACAGGCTGTGACTAGTGGTCTCAGTACGATTGGTAGAGGCCCTAATTTATTCATCTAATTGTTTGAATGAATCAATCCTGAAAATAAAGAAACCCCTCTGACTGGCTTCATGTATTTGACTCTTTGACAGACTGGATGAATTTCTTGGTTCTGGTTGGCTGATTGAAACAGGCCATCTGATAGGCCCAATGAATCAAGTCTATTACTTGACTAAATGAATGATGAGACTTTGATTGGCTGATTGTAATAAGCCCTCTAATGGCAAAGTAAAAGAAGCCTTACGATTGGCAGAATAAATAAGCGGCATCTTATTGGCTGGTTGAAATGGTCCTTCTGATTGGCTGAATGAGACAAGCTTTCTGGTTAGCTAAATAAAGAAGCCTTTTCCATAGGTGCTCAATACAGGGCCTTGTGATCAACTGAACCAAATGAGTCTTCTAATTGAGTGAAACAAGCCTTTTGATTGGTTGAATAATTCTTAAATCTTCCATTGGCTCTTTGAAATAGGCTGAGGTTGACGTATGAACCAAATTAACCAAGCCTTTTAAGTGGCTCAATAAATTTATGCCATTTAACTGGCTAAATTAACTTTTCTCTCTGATTAGCTAATTAATTTGGGCCTCTGATTGGCAAAACAAAGCAAGACTTAATTTGAATGGATGTATGGCCATGGCCTCTTATTGGCTGTTTGTGTAAAGCCTTCTTATTGATTGGCTTCATGAATTAAGGCCCCTGATTGACTGATTTGAACAGACTTTCTGATTTGCTAATTGAAGATGTCTCTTTAATTTAAACAGGTCATCTTAATGGGTGGATTTATCAGGTATTCTGATTGGCTGATTGAATGAGCATCCTGATTGGCTAAATAAACTGAGCAGTTTCCTCCTTCTAGGCTTTTTTGTTGACTGCTAGCAGCACTGATATCCCTCCAAAGTTGCCTACTGTTCCCAGAAACATGTATTGTTGTCAGATGATTGCCTCTAGGATCTGGGATTTGCCACAGGATAGTGTAAAGTTAAGTTTTAAGTATTCCATTTCATTAGTTTTGAAGGTATCTGGGGCATGCATTTGCAAAACTATCTAAAAAGTTGTATTAGATAGAAAGAGAGGAATCCCTCATGTCTTTAATTCACTGAAGTTTAAAGGATTTATAACTTTTAAATGTGAAACAGTTTGGATTAACATTGGGAACTGATAAGAAAGTGCCTTTGTGTTCTCTCATTGAAGGATATTGTTCTGAAAAAGCAGAAACCTAAATAAGAGAAAAGACTTGACAGCTATTCCCTCACCAAAAACCCAAATATCAAGTGCTCTATTCAAATCTGACACTACTAGTCAGCCATTACACTTCTAAAATGTAAGTCTTATTTTCTCTTAAGATGGGAGTAGCAGAAAAGGAGCTTACAGTATATCAAATATACTGTCCCTCTTTATATGGGTGCTGTCCTGAACTGGCACACATTTCTATTAATGAGCGCATATCTAATCTGACAAGCTTGTCTCCACCTACACTTACTCCAGCTAAAACACATAAATATTCAGGGAGATCTATATGCTTCAAATGCATATGCACACACATAAAA